CATAATCCCAATGCTCAAAGATATAATCAGATGCTAAAAAAATTTTATTACATATGGTACCTTATAGCACTCATAAAATGCTCATTAAATATAGTATTATGGAAATACAAAGATTTACCTAAACAATATTAAATTATCCATAATAGCACATAAGAAGATATTAAACAATAGCATACCCAGGACAGACTACTAATCTATGAATCACTTTTTAGTTTCTTAACTAAATCCTTAGAAGCACATTAGCTATTTCAAGGTACACACATATTTTTATGCAAGTTGTTCTTGCATATTTTGCTCCTGAAAAATCCTATTCGATTACTCTTTCTAGCAATGACTGGATTCATTTCTGCATATTCTCAACAGATATGGCTTATTTTATTAATCTTTGCTCCCCTTTCCCTCCAAAGAACCCTAGTATCTCACAGATCTGCATCTTGGGGAATACTACTGGTAAAACTGAAGACTTTTTTCATGTTTCCTGCTCCTTGTATAAATTACCAGTCCTCCCCCCTTTTTTTTCCAGGAGGCAGGGGACTATTTTATTGGTTTATAAGTCATCCTTTCATAGCTTGGAAAGTAAATTTGCTTGTAAGTGACTATTTTTTCTCAGTTTGCTATTTGCCTTGTAATTTTTATAGGATTTTAACTTATGGAAGTTTTATTACTCTAAAGTAGCCAAATGAATCTTCTCCTTTACCGTCTCTACTTTTGATGTTACAGTTATGTTATCTTCACCCTATTATCTTTTGTAAGTATTTTAAATATTTTAAAAAATCATTTTAGGGCTGGGGTTGTGGCTCAGCGGCAGAGGGCTTGCCTAGCACGTGCAAGGCCCTGGGTTCGATCCTCAGCACCACATAAAAATAAATAAATAAAATAAAGGTATTGTGTCCAAATACAACTAAAAAATAAATATTTTTAAAAAATCATTTTAAATCACACAAGTTCACCATCCTGAAATCATAACTGTTTTTCTGTCTTAAATACTTTCACCAAAGCAGACACATTTTATCCGTGTTTAAATGGCTGCACCCATTTCATGTTTTCTAAACTATTATGATATAGTCTGCTCCACATGATAAATTCCATAGTGATGATCAGATATCAATCCTTCAAATATTTTCATTTTAAAGGTAAATCATCGTTAATATTTTAGTTCATTATCTAACAAAACAACTTCCACCTTATAAATCAATCAGATGGAGCCCTTGTTAAAGGTCAAGCCCTGGGATACTATTTCATTCTAACTGGGAATTCACCACCTTTCCAGCCCTGGCCTCCACCACGGAAGTCTCTGCTCCTACATTCTAAACAAAGGGTTAAGCTATAGTACCTGAACTTCATGGAGCTTTGTAAAGATTTCAAGTGAGGGATGTACAAAAATGTTGACATTAGTAAATGCACGCTAGGCACAGGGGCCAGACGCGTGGCACACCATCCCTGTCCTACAGGGCAGTCTAGAGGGAGAAATCACCGAGTACTATCAGAAGTGTGAATGCTGAGACAGTAAAACAGGCAGGACCCCAGGAACCTGGGAAGGCTCCTAATGGGCAAGCTTCCAAGAGATGGCAACCTTGAACTGTCAGCTATAGGATGGAAAAGAGACACAAAGCTCAGGGAAGGGAACCGCAATCACGCAGAAGCATGGCCTGGAAGCCAGGGAGAGCAAAACCATGCTACCTGGTTCGAGCTTCCCAAGGGAACAATCAAAATGACTATCAAACCTAGGGGTCACAACTCTGCTTGTCAACTGTATATATGATACATTACCTTCTATGAGGTAGTTTTTCCAGTGTTGCTGTTCCTGTTAAAAAGTTGTGACATTCCCATGGGATCCATATACTCTGAGGGCCTAAAGAAACCTTTAAAAGTATCAATTAAAAGCTATTTCATTTTACAAATGAGGAAATACAGGCCCAGAAAAGTTAGGCTCAAACTAGACTCTATGTCTTTTCACCCAAACAAAAATAAAGAAATAAGTACCCTCCCCATGCAGGTTTTTTTAGACACTAGAAAATCTGTGTGAATAAAAGATTGAAGTCATAAGTGTTGCAATAATAAGTATGTAGTGTACATTAGTAAATGTACCTATTACTAGCTTAAAGTCCTTGATAATAAACTTAAAGGTTTTATCCAAACTCACTTAATTCTTCATTTAATGCTCATTTCTTGGCTTTTTTTTTTTTTTTTTTTGGATACCAGGGATTGAACTCAGGGGCACTTGACCATGAGCCACACCCCCAGCCCTATTTTGTATTTTATTTTGAGAAAGGGTCTCACTGAGTTGCTTAGTGCCTCGCTTTTGCTGAGGCTGACTTTGAACTCACAATCTCCTGCCTCAGCCTCCAGAGCCTTTGGGATTACAGGCCTGCACCACTATACAGGCTCATTTCTTGGTTTTGAAACAAACAAAAAACCACCTTACTGATAATCTACCAATAATTTTTAAAAGGCAAGGTAAATTTAGTATTGGTCTTTAAAATAAATGGCCACCACCCTTTTCTCCAGGCATAGCTAAAAGATCAGTTCAAAAAGAAGCCACTAGACTCCAAAAGACATCTTTTCCCAGAGTGACAATAGCAAAGGGCAGAAAGGCCATGCTTTGGAAGCTAGAGGGTTGAAACTTTAAGAAATACAAACACAGTCAAAAGATGTAGGGCCCTAATTATTAAAATTTGAAGAATGAAAAACAACTCCTCAATTTAAAGTACATTAACCTAAATTTTCCATGCTGAAGAGAAGGCACACCATTTCTGCCCCTGGGTATAATGGGAATGAAAAGGTCCTCAGGACCCAGTGGGACTTCATGCAGACTAGTCACACCCCTGGGCTGGCCTCCTTCCCAACAAGGAAGAACCTCAACTACCAAACTGCTTTGCTCCAAAGGCAAGGCAAGGCTTTGGGGTGAAGTGGGGGTGTTTTGTTTAAACACACACACACACACACACACGTAAAAATCTATACCTTAAAACAAATTTGTGAAAGTTTTACAAGTTGTTTTTTTCTCACTTCCCTGGATTTCCACAGTTAAAGAAAACCTGAACATTATTCTCCTAGGGCACTCAACTAGATACTAGGGAGAGGGAGTGTGGAAAATGAGAAAGGTGACAAATGCTTCTCTCTTAAGCAGCATATAATAGAGGCTGGGGCTGTAGCTCAATGGCAGAGTGCTTCCTGTGAGGCACTGGGTTTGATCTTTAGCACCAAATAAAAATAAATAAAATAAAGGTATTCTATCCATCTACAACGAAAAAAACTTAAAGCATATAAATAATAGTTTGCACTTTAAACTATCTTAAATACAGCAATTATGTTTTCTGTAGCAAAATCAGAGCAAAAGGCCAAACATTGGGATTAAATTAGAAGTATTCCAGAAAGTTCCTTCATTCAAAAAAACAAAACAAAACAATACTGAGGTATATTACTCTGGGAGTGCAAAAATAAGTAAAGAATATCCCCTATTTTCTCAATGAATTCACAGCCTGGATTGTGTATGGGAAATAAGTCTTCCTTATCAATCAAGACTAAGTTAATTATAGCTGGAAGGTAGTACTTAGTAGGGGCAGAGGAGTTCAAGTAATACGTATGGAGGTGGGGCAGAATAGGCTCTTGGCATTTGTCTCGGCCTATGAGGACATGAGCAAGGTGCTCTCAAAGAGGGAGGGTGGATCATCTAAACTGGTGGAAAAACCATAGTGTATCTAAAACTGGTTGCAAAATAGTTTTTAAAAGATGATGCCAATAAGAAAAAAATTTTTTTAACATTTTTAGAAAGCAACTCAGCCATCCCTCTCAAACTAAATGAGCACTCTCCTGAAACCTCCAAAAATGGGCATAATAAGAGTTAAAGCAAGCCAGTCTTGTGTTTGCAGGCTTGGGAATTTGAAATTCAATGCCATTATCTCCACTTGCCCTGGAAAGCAACAAATGGAATGGTCAAGGAAGAGTTTTCTAATATCCCTAAACCTTAAAAAAAAAAAAAAATCATATCCTACTTTAGTAGTGGGTTTTACTTTTTAAATATCAAGTAGGACTGTGCTACATAAAATACATAAAACCCTGGGACATCAGAAAATCCGTTAAATTCTCGCGTACCCCTCAAAACGAAGTGCTAAAGTTAAAACGGTATGCTTAGGTTCATGAGCGAGCAGCTCATGACTTAAAAAGTATAAGCGCTTTCGAAAACTGCCTGACCATTTACTCCCCTCTTAACTATTTTAATGCCCCTACAGGAAAGAGCAATTACAGAGCAAATACTTGGGTACGTTGACTGCAATTCAGTACTTGTGCCTTTACCACTAACCCCTACTAGGAACTAAAAGCAACAATAGTGACCCAGAGGGAAAAGCGAATCCTCTTTGGGGCAGAGCTAGTGGGAAACCTCTTAACTTTGGAGATTAATCTCTGGGGAACGTGTAAAAGCATTCCAATCCGAATTAGGTCTACACTGCACCGCATTACACAGGTGACAGAAAGAGGGGCCTCCCAGGCCTGGGAATGAAGGTGCACGACCCGGGGCCCGGAGACCCCTACTCCCTGCGGCCTGGCCCGGCGCCCGGTTACCTCCGGGGTCAGAGCGCGCGCTCCCGCCGGGACCGGGGGCGCGCCGAGGCCGTGGCGCAGGGCCCGGCCCGACTCACGAGCGCCGGGGGGCTCCGTCCCGTTGGTCCGCCGCACTCGCATCCCTGCGCGCCCGCCGCGGCCCGCTCCCCAGGAGAACGGGGCAAAAGGACGACTATTACCCAATACTAGCGCCGTGCACCGTCGCAACAAAGCGAGCGCGGGACCCAGGGGCCGCGGGCAGGGGACCGGAAAGCCGGAGCGCCCGGCGCGGCTCAGCGGCTGCTCCTGGAGAGCCTGAGTCCCGCTGCGAGCGTGACCTGCGCGGGCAAGGGGGAAAGGGCGCGCGCCGGGCGTCCCGCGGGGGTCGCCGCGCGAGGCGAGGCGAGGACGCCGAGCCGCCCGCGGCTGGGAAAGGCCGGAGCCGCCAGGCCGGGGCGATGAATCGGGCTTTTTCCCAGTGCGTAGCCGGGCCTGGCGGCCGCGAGCCCGAATCCAGAATCCCAGGCCCCGCCAGGCCCCAGTCGGCCTGCCCGGTGACTCAGGGCCGGGGCCCCCTCACCGCCCTCCGCCCACGAGTCCCCCGGCCCAGCCGCCATTCCGCCTCGCCGCGGCGCGGGCCTTGCCCGGCGCCTGCGCTCGGCAGCCGCGGCCCGAGTCACTGCGACACCGCGGCTCGGGCCGGGCCTGCGCCGCCGCCGCTGGGCCCTGGTGGCCGCCGGCACTCACCCGCGTCTCCCGGGTGCCCCCAAGGCTCCGGCGACGTGTCCGCTCCCTCGCTGGGCCCGGGCCCCGAGAAACCCCGTCCCGCCAAGGTCTGGCTGCGTCCCTCAGCCGCCCGGGCTGCCCCGCCTGGAGCTGCGTGCGACACGGCGCCCGCCTCCGCCTCCTCCCCTGCCCGCCCGCCGGCCCTCCTCCCGCCGCCGCCGCCTGCACCACGCAACCTCCGCCCTCTCGCCTTCCCTGCGCGGCTCCCCGCCCTCCCGGCCTCACCGGCTCCGGCGACCGCGGGAGAAGCCGTGGGGGAGGGCCGGAACGCACCGCCATCGGCGTCCGGGGAGGGGGAGCCGGGAAACCGCCGCCGCCATCGCCCCGCTCGCCCGAGGCGCGGGACGGGCCCGGAAACCTCCCGCCCGCCCGCGGCGGCCGGCGACCTGGCTGGCCCTCGGCGGCGGCCCCGCTTGCGGGGCGCTATCTACCTGCGAGCCGCGGCCCCTGCCCGGGCGCCCAGCCGTCCCGCGCGGCGCGCCGGATCCGCCGCCGGGTTTTGCAGCCGCCCCCACCGCCGGGCCACCTCCGGAGGCCGGGTTCCCGCCACTTCGGACCTGTCGAGTGGGCTGACCTTGGGCGGGGGGCTCCGGGTCCGGGAGAAACTTCCCGAAGGAGAGGGGCTTCCGCCGCCCCTGCGCGCACACAGCCCGAGCTGGCAAGGGACGCAGCTGCACCCAGCCATGTGCCTCCGCTCCGGGGGACAGACCCCGGCCGAGTGGAGCAACCCCGAGACGCGCAGAAATGGGCCAGGCTCCGAGAGCCGCGCCGGGCCCTGACCCCTGCACCTGCCCGCCGCCGGGCCGCCTGAGACCCGGGCTCACCTGCAAGTGTGTGTCCCGCTTTTTCTAACGCTTTCTCCAAAAGGACTGAACCAGTCCTTCAGCCGACTTATTTTTGGCAAGTTTTAACAAAAACTCAGCTTACCCTTAGTCTCCGTCAGAAGAGATGGTGGCTGGACTTGGAGGCTTTGATGACACAAAGGGGTGGCCTGCGCTGTTACTGTGAGAATCGTTTTCACGTGTAGTCGGAAGTAGTTACTGTCACTGGTTGGAAATTAAATCATGATTGGGGCTTTGGAATGTTCAAACTAAGTGGGAATTTTGGCAGCACGACTAGCCAGTGGGCTTCCTGTGGTGACGAGCTGGGGAGAGAGTGGACTTAACCCGTACCTAGGTGGAGGCAGGTGTTCCGATGCCCTGGCTCCGCGATTCCATGGACAGGGGCAGGGCAGGAGTTCAGATAGCGCGTCGTCTGGGTCAGACATGTGGCGGATGCGACTTCCTGTTCTCTGCAAACTAGAACACTGCGGAGACCCCCTGCCAGAGCAGGGGGCGGCCCAGGGTCCTCGCTGTGTCCTAAGTAACTTGGGTTTCTTGCAGAAGAAACATCCTACTGGTATGTAGTCCCTTGGGTAGAAATGTGGCTTTTGTCAACTTTTGTTAAGTATCTTTAGAGAGATTTTTTGGTGGGTGGCTGGGAATGTCAATCCCTGGTAGAGTGCTTGCTAGCATGTGTGAGGCCCTGGGTTCAAGCCCCAGTAGCTTCCCCCGCCCCCCCCCACCACCACCAAAAAAAAAATTATTGTTGTATTTACCTGTGTCCAAATTATATGATTCTTCAATTAATGCTGGAGTTTAAAAATGGAAGGTTTATCGGATTTATTCCTATGGACAACGCCATCCCATGTGCATATGGCCGTTTTGTTTTGTACTGGGAATTGAGCCAAGGGCACTCTACCACTGAGCTACATTCACAGCCTTTTAAAAAAAAAAAAAAAAAATTTTTTTTAATTGAAGCAGAGTCTCCCTAAATTGCTGAGGCTGCCCTTGAACTTTCAATCCCTCTGCCTCAGCCTTCTGAGTCACTGGGATTACAGGAGCATGCCACTGTGCTCAGCAACATATAGGTTTTTAAATATCCCAATCTCTGCCCTTTGCTGGAACCTCTGTGTCCCTCATCTCCATCTTCTCTAAGCTCTCTCCTCCCACCTTACCATACTATGTGATCTTTTCCGTGACTTCCCACAGCTGAATATGGGAGCTGAGTGGATTAACGTTCCCTTACCTTCTGTTTGTCCTTAGTACTTAGCCCACCAGCATACCCTCTCCCCTTCTCACTGCCCTCATCCTGATTCCTAACGCTCTCTCCTTTACTCTCCACCTGTCTGTACTGTTCCTCTTAGCAGCTAGATTTATTTGATCTACTCATGACCACTTCACAACCAGATTGTGTCTACTCTGGGAAGATAATCTGGCCTCTTACCCATCAGGACAAGACCATCTATTCTCTTTCCACTCAGAACCTCCTTCCCTTGTCTTTCTCCCCTGTCTCATAAATCCATGTCTCTCAGATGACCCAAAGTTTGGAAGTATTCTTAATTTTTTAAAAAGTTTTTATTAGTTATTGATAGACCTTTATTTATTTATTTGTTTATATATGGTGCTAAGAACCGAACCCAGTGCCTCACACATGCTAGGCAAGTACTCTACCAACCCCAGCCCCCGGAAGGATTTTTTTTTTAATATTAGTTGTAGATGAACACAGTATCTTTATGTATTTTTTATGCGGTGGTGAGGATTGAACCCAGTGCCTCCTACATGCGAGGCAAGCACTTTACCACTGAGCTACAGCCTCAGCCCGGTGGAAGGATTCTTAATTTAATGTCAGAATCAAAGTACAAAACAGTCTTAAAAGAATAGAATATTAGACCAAAACCAGTGAAAGAAAATATCACTTTACAAGTCTAAAATATGATGTAGTTGGAAAAAAATCTCAAGTTTTAGATTTAGGTGGACCTTGGTTTCTACCCAGACTCAATAATTTTTTGGTCAAGTTCAGTGAACTGTAAATTGGGGATAAAAAGTATCTACCTCTCAAGGGTGTTATTCCATTATAATCTTGGATCATTCATTGTTAGCTCCCTTCCCTTCCTCATTTTCCACAGAGTGGAGGCCCATGGGCATCTCTGTTGATACTCATAACATTCACATTTTCTAAGTCATACAGGCCTGGAAAGCAACTCAAAATCCTGACCCATTCACCTGGCATCCCAGAACCATTGCCAACCCAGGGAAATCCTTTGTTTATTTTGGCTCAGTCTTCGAGGACATCATCATTATCACACCTGTTTTCCAATGAAAAAACCCAAGGCTCAGAGGTGTTAGGGAATTTGCTCCAAATCACCAAGCTCAGTCCTTGGCATAACCTGACCTGAGTGTGTCCACTATGTTATAAGACACTTTCTTCCACTGGTATCATTGCTTTAATCTTTTAAATGGTTTTCCCAGTTCTGGTATATCCCCTGTCCTTTCCCCTACATAGTAACAACTGTAAATTATTCCTTTAAACTGAAACTTTCATTACTTCGTTGTCCTTTTAAAATTCAGTGGCTCTCCATTGTTGATAGGGTTCAGTCCAAATTCTGGCCCATCACTTAAGGTTTTATATCTTGTCCTAACTTACTTTTCCAATTGTATTAGTTCCCAGATACCTCCTAAAAGGAATTCTCGGCTCCATCCAATCCCATTGGACACACTCATGGCCCATGCGTTCCAGCCTTGAATCACCATTGGTGAATGCTTGCTTCCCTTTGAACCCTTAGTAAATAGATACAGTTCCTGCCTTTTCATTTCTATCTCAAATCATGCTTACTTTTCAAGATCCTGCTCCCTTTCCCTCCCAGGAAGCCCATCTGCTTTTTGACCTCAACTCTCACTTGTGCCTCCCCTCCCCCCAAACCCGAACAGTACTGGGGTTTCAAACCAGAGCCTCATACATGCTAAGTAAGTGCTCTACCACTGAGCTATATTCCTGACTCTTTAAATTTTATTTTGAGACTAACTGGCTGAGGCTGGCCTCAGACTTGCAATTCCCCTGCCTCAGGCTTCAGGGTGGCTGGGATTTCAGGTGAGTGCCACCAGCAGGTGTGCCCCTGGCCTTCCACGTGCACTTTAAACTAGGAGGTCTGTGCTTGGGGAGAAGGGCTGTTCCCTGAAGTGCCCCAGCCCCTGCAGCATTGTGCCTGGAGACCACTGCAGTTTGTTTACTCCTAAATCAAAGGGCACTGAGTCACTTGCCTGGCTCTAGGAGCCGTTATTTTTAAAACCCAGGCAAGGAAATAACCATCCAATGCAAAGTAAATCGGTTTAACAGGATGGTTTCCAACCTGACTTTGCTTCAGGATCCCCTGATTCTGAAAGACAATATTCCAGGGGCCCCATTCCAGACCCAGTAAATCAAAATTGGGTGGGAAAGAGCAGGGAGGGGATTTGAAATTGCCAGAATTCATAGCTTGGCTTCACTACTCATTAACTGGGTAACTTTGAGCAAGTTACATAAATTCTCCATGCCTCAAAAGATGATGGTCGTATTTCAGGCTGGGGACATAGCTCAGGGGTAGAGCGCTTTGCTTGCCCAGTGTGCATGAGGTACTGGGTTCAAGTCCTAGCACCACAAAAATTTAAAATTTTAAAAATTATTTCATAAAGAGTTTTAAAAAAATGAAACAATAATATTACTGCTGCTGGTGATGATGATTCTGTGATGACTTAAGGCCAATCTGGTGAACCGAGTTGGCAACCACTGAGTTAAGGAACCATTCCCACTCCTTCCCCTGCTAGAGTTTAAAGCTTCCAGAATTAAGCATTCTGATATATTCCAATAAACTTTGTTTTTGAAATAGTGTAATTAAGAAAGAGGGGCTGGGTTTATAGCTCAGTTGGTAGAGGGTTTGCCTCGCATGTGTGGGTTCCATCCTCAGCAACACATAAAAATGAATAAAATAAAGGTATCTGTCTACAACTAAAAAAATATTTTAAAAAAAGAATGAGGATTTTCTGTATGCACAATTTTATTATAAATCTCAAATTAATATATTAATATAATTACTAATATATAATTAATATAAATATATACATTTATATTAATATGTAAATTGTACAAAATACAACATTCCCCAAAACCCAAAATTTATTATTGGTACTAATTCCTATAGGTTTGCTATGTTACCACAAATCAAGAAACCACTAAATATTTCAAAGCATTTAACATCAGAAGTTTTAAACCCGAACTGTGTGTAGTAATCCCTTAAAAACAAAAAAAAAAAACTGCAACCTATTTTGTTTTTGTTTTTTGTACCAGGGATTGAACCCAGGGCCACTTAAACACTGAGCCACAACTGCAGCCCTTTTTATTTTTTTATTTTTAGATGGGGTCTCACTAAGTTGCTTAGGATTTCACTAAATACAGCCTGAATTTTTTAAAAAAATATTTTCTCTACAAAGAATCTTATCAGCTACACAAAGATCAGTAGCTTTTACTGATACTTTTGTTTTCTCTGCAGTACTTGGGACTGGACCCATGGCTTTGGGCATTCGAGGCAAGTACTACCTCTGAGCTACATCCCCAGTTCTAAAAATCAGTTTTTATACTGAAGCAAGTATCAGCTGCACTTGAACTTCCCTTCTTCACTGTGGCCTGAGTGCAGACACACGCCATGCCCTCAGTACAGGACAGCCCATGTTCATCTTCAACCTCTTCCTCCTCCTCTGGTGCCTTCTCCTTTGAGCCCATTCCCCTGCCCAGCCCTTTCTTCTTACCTCACTCTCGCCTCTAGCTCAGTATGCAGCAATGTACTTTAATATTTCCCCTTTAGCTTAGCTCTTTTTGCTTATCTGGATGATTCTCATTGGTTCCAGACACATTTCACCCAATTTTTTTTTTTTTTGCAGCATCCACAATGGAGAGGTCTGGGTGTCTCCTCTGATCTTTGGGCAATGTTCAGAGCAAAACAGAAAGAAGGCAGATGGTAGTCTTTTGAGAACATCAGATCTTTTTTATCACCTTTGGGAGGAACATAATTTCTCATCTCCCTGACGTAGTACTTTGTCACTTTTCCCCATATCTTTGAACTTTAACTTTTCCTTTACAGACATGAACTTCCATTTTTCTGAACATTTCTTGGAGAATTCATTGAAATTGAAAAGGAGTCTGGGTATTTCTTCTTTTGGCATATGAAGACATTTTGCCCCTCTCCTCCCCTGTGGTGACAGAATGGTGCCTGGTGTGAGCTTTTCCTCAGAATCCCCCAGAGGGGCCAGATCCAACAGAGGTGTTTCACTTGACAATCCCAGTATGAAACAGTTTCCAGATTTTTTAATTAAATGTTTTATTTTAATCCATATCATGAAATGTACATTATTCACGATTTTAAAAAATCTGGTTCCTCTTAGAAAAATAGCTGTACATATGTTGTAACTGTGTAATTCAACCAGGTAAGTGTTCAGAAGAAACAGGAAAAACATGAAGCAGTGTTTTTCTTCCATTTCAAAGAGCCATAAACTGGTTTTGAAGAAGCAAGTGTTTAAATCTTCCATGTTAATTCATTAGAAAAAAAAATCATGTCTCATTTTGGCCCATCAAATGCCAAAGAAACGAGATTTTAATGGTATTTAGAGGTAACTAGATGTGAAATATGAAGCAGAAAATTACCAAAGTCAAACAGTCCTCATGGGGAACACGAAATTGGTAGACCTCACCTTCCCAACTCTAAGACTTTCTTTCCTTTTTTTTTCTTTTCTTTTTTTTCCTGAGAGACAGGCTCTGGTTACTAGGTCCAGGCTGACCTCCTACGCTCCACTCAAGTGATTCCCCGCTTGAGCCTCCCAACTTGCTGAGACAGCAGGTGCTGCCACCACTCCCAGCTCTCAGTTTCTAACTTCTAAATCACTTATTGAAGCAAATACACAAAGGGCTTGTTTTGATTGCTAGACTACACAATTCCTAATTAGCATTTCTGAAGAACCCAAATTGTTCTGAGAGGGTAAGAGGGCTTGGTGGTCCTTTGTACTTTAGCACCAACAAGTTGAATCATATTGCCTTCTTTTAACATGGATCAGTAAAACCTAAAAATGCAAAAAGTTTGGAGCAAATCAAGTTTTGCAGAAACATTGAGAGCCTCAGGGAAGGTTGAAAACCTCAGATCAGAGGTTCAGGGAAGAGACTTCAGCAAAAGAAGGGAAGACTGGAAAGGCACTGAAAGATTTTAAAATTTAATACCAAATTTCAGATGTCGCATGTTTCTGGTCCTGAGCCTCATGTTTTGGAACCTAGAAAATACTATTGTCAGTCCTGAATTAAGTGGTCTTTGGAGGTCCATCCTGGGGGACCTAAACACCATCTAACATTGGATTAGGTTGGATCACATGAGATTGTAATTCATTTTCAAATGGTTCAACTGTCTCCATGAGAAACCATTCAGAGTTCCAGAAATTGTCCTAAAATCTCTCCTTTAAGGAAGCCCTCTCTGACCCTTCATACCTCAACCACCCATATTGGAACTAGGTGTCTGCTTTGTGATTCTCTTGCATCCTGTGTCTGTTCTCAATGAAGAATTTATCTTCTTGCATTTAATTGTTCCCTTGTCTATCTGCAACTCCCTCATAGATTGTAAGCCCCTTGATTTCGGAGACAGTCTTTTGTTACTACATCCACTGCGTTTAGCATAGCGCCTGGCACATAGTAGAGGAATGATTGGAATCCAATTTGTGCATTAGTTGGAACTGCTTGTATTATGAAACACAGTCATTTCACTTTCCTGCTCAAAGGCCTTTAATAATTCCCTGTTCCCTACTGAAAAAACCACAAACTCCTCAATCCTAACCTTGAAACATCATCTAAAATTTGATTCCAATGGATAAATTCTTCCAGATTGTCCCCTTTAATTTCTAATAGATATCACACTAGATCCAAACTGGATCCAAATTGGATCCTGGGAATGCCTGATTGGCCCCAAGCATTCTCTCATGCAACTCCACCTTCCATATAAGCTGCTCTTCCCCAGCCACTGCTTACCCCAGTAGAATCCATCCTTCTGGGCCCACTTTGAATGCAATCTCTTGAGCAAAATCCTCTCCTGCTCCTCAACCAGATGTGAATTTCATTTCTCGCACAGGTAGGTTTCTTGAAGACATTTTTAAATAGAACCACTAGTTAGGGTTCTCCAGAGAAACAAAATCAATAGAGATGGATGGATCCATTAACCAATAGATAGATGGATATTTATTTTATGAAATTGACTCAGGCAGGACTCATGTGATTATGGAGACTGGCAAGTCCAAAATCTTCAGGGTAGGTTTGCAGGCTGGCACCCCATGGAAGAGCCAACTTTGCAGTTCAAGTCTAAGACCATCAGGATGCTTAGGGAAGTGTAGACCTTGCTTTAAAAAGATCTTCAATGCTAGGACGAGGACCACACACGATATGGACAGCCGATTTCTTTATTGAGAGTCCACTTTGTTCAGAATGTTTATCTCTTAGCAGATCTTGTGGTGCCGTCACACAGATATTCCCAGACAGCATGGGTACATGGGTACTCCCATTGGCTTCCTTTGTTGGGAATGTCCTTTTTTTTTTTTTTTTTTTTTTGGTACCAGGATTGAACCACAGGGGCGCTTAACCACTGAGCAACATCCCCAGCCCTTTTTAAAATACTTTATTAGAGACAGGGTCTCACTGAGTTGCTTAGTGCCTCGCTGAATTGCTGAGGCTGGCTTTGAACTCTTGATCCTCCTGCCTCGGCCTCCGGAGCTGCTGGGATTATAGGCATATACCACCGTGCCCGGCTTGTCCTTCCTTTTTCTTTGGCTGAGGAATATTAATCACTTCCCCAGACTCCTGATTCAATGTCAAACTCTGAAGTTTTCTCAGCCTCTTCTCTCTACCCTCACAGTGTCTGGAGATTTTTCTTTTCTTTTTTCATAAACATCGGGCAAAATACCTCTGAAAAACTCCCTCACCCTGAACTTTCCTCATCAATTCCAAATCACAGAGTGTAAATTTCGAAGCTACCACTCACATGCCTGTGCTCATGTAATGCGGATAAAGCGTTATCTTAGATTATTCCACGTTTTTATTGGCATAAGTTGGAGAGAATATTCTAGTCATGAATAATGAAGTGTGTTTTCCAGGTCAGAGCATATTCTTGCCAGGAAAAACTTTATAGCTCATCAACACCATTTGTTGAAGTCAATATTTTAAAGAAATATTACGCACAGAGCATTCAAGAAATCGCAATGGCCTTAGATCTTGGTTTTCATGTTCCATAAAATCAGTTGCCTTTTTTTTTTTTTTTTTGTACTTGGAATTGAACCCAGATGCTCTTAACCACCGAGCCATATTCCCAGCTGTTTTTATTTATTTTTATCTTGAGTCAGGGTCTCACTAAGTTGCTGAGACTGTCCCAGAACTTCTATCCTCCTGCCTCAGCCTCCTGAGTTGCTAGGATTACAGGTATGTGCCAATTTATGGGGCAGTCAGTTGCTTTTTTTTTTTGGTACCAGGGATTGAACTCAGGGGCACTTAAGCACTGAGCCACATCCCCAGCTCTTTTTTGTATTTTGTTTAGTGACAGGGTCTCACTGAATTGCTTAGCACCTCTGGCTTTGAACTCTCAATCCTCCTGCCTCAGTCTCCGGAGCTGCTGGAATTATAGGTGTGCGTCATCCCACGTGGCTGACTGCTTTTGACTCAAATAGAATAAGGAGGCTGAAGGAACCTGCAGCCTGGAGTCCTCAATTAATGGATAAGAACAACCACCACCAAAAAACGTATTATATTATCATTTTGTGGGAAAAATTGCTTATTCCCCAAGTAATTTTTCTGTGGGTGACAAGTGAAGTGACATCTTGAGAATTTACATAATTTCTCTGACCTTTTTTTTAAAAGGATGTGTTTAATTCAGAGATAAGATCTGGATTAATAACTGCTGGCTAGTTCTGCTGATAGAAGAAATTCAGAAACCAAACTCTCATTGCACCATGAGAGCTACTTACTATTTTTGCTGATAATGTCCCAGAAATGTGGTCATAGTCATCACCCACTGCTCCATCTCAGCAGCAACACAGTCATTAGCAGGCATTGGGCTTCTCTGAGAACAGTCTCAGTCTTCAAGTCCCTTCTGCAAACTTAGCAGATAAATACGAGGGAAATAGCCTGGCAAGAACAAGAATCACAAATATTCCCCCTGAATAACTTGGTAGGGAAGCAAGAGATAAGGGATGGGTAGAAAACTGCAACTCAATATCCAGAAGAACAGCTCAACTTTCCTCCCAGTGGCTGGTAATCTTTCCCCTTCTTTTGTCAATTACACTATTATTTTTCCCCTACCCACTATCTCCCAATAGCCTAAACTACTACTTTTTTTTTTTTTTTTTGATAAATGCTGGGAATATACCCAGGACCCCGTGCATGCTAGACCACTACAGCCCCACGTCTGAATCTTTTCCTAAGAGATTAGAACTAGATGAATATCCAGCAATCTTCTCCTTAGTTGTTAGAAGATTGCAGTCTTAATTGCATTGAAATGAGGAAATGCTTCTTGAACTGAGCAGACGGACTTTTACTGTGACGGTACCAGCAAGACCACTTGGAAGAAACTGGCAATGAAATAAAATTTAATACCAGACTCTTATGACACATATGAAATTCTAATGGTCAGAGTAAAGTGATTTTTGTTTTTAATCCCGGTATATCCATGGATTTGAAAAATATTTACTGAGATGTGTTTCTTGAGCAAGTATTTCATGAATCACTTGCTAACTGACCTACTTTTCTGTTTTATTCCCCCCAAAGCCAAAACCTGCAGGTGGTTGAGACAGGAAGTAGGGGTGGCTCTTACCTTGCACGGAACTGGATATAATCCACCCCCCACACCCTGAGATTGTGCTGCAGGTAAGCTATTTTCAGTTCTGCCCTCAGTGTGAGAACTGGGGGAAGATGCAAGGAAGAAGTAGGCTACCAAAGGAACAAGACAGACTCAGGCAGGACAGGTTAGCACAGGGTGTGAGGCAGCATGGGCTCCTGGCTGGTCCTGCCCCCAGACTCTGCCTCTTGGAGCAGAGGGGCATCTCTCAGGATGGTCTTGCTGAATCGCATTCTTCTGACACCTGGAGTTCAAGCTGTCAGAGCTGTCCCTCTCGTTGTATTTACCATTTTCTAGCTTGAACTATTTGGAAGCAGGGCTATGTCACTACCACCCTGGTTACACGGTTTGTCCCCAACCCCGTGGCAGGCTCACTCCCTGCCCTCCCCTCCTGTTCACCTTGAGCTGCCCTGGGTCTTGGAGTATCCCATGTAGATGCCCTGCACTTTAGCTTTTGCTCCCGCATGTTTGCATGCTCTTCTTCCTCCTGGGTCATTTCATTACGTTTATTCTTCAAGTCGTATTTAGGTTCTTCCCTCATCAGACTTCCCAGAGTCCCAGGGCTGAAATGGATCTTGTCTCCTCATGCTTTACCTGGGCTTCTGGAGTCTTGTTTTTCTGAATGCGAGACTCCACACTCCTTGTCTGTCCATCCTCTTTTTCCGCTCTTTCTCAGAGCAAAAGGTTTTAATTGGACAGCGTCCGACTCCTCAGTCCTTCCCCTTATATATTGTGCTTTTGCTGTTGAAGCTGAGAACACTTCACCCACTCCTGGGTTCCAGAGAGTTCCTCCTGTGGTTTTCCTAAACATGTTTTAGGATTATGTTTTACTTTTAACTGTGGGGTCTATTTTGAGCTCATTTTTGTGTGAAGTGCGAGGTTGAGGGTAAAGCTCATTTGCCCATGGACAGCCAACTGCTCCAGCAACATCTGTTGACAAAACTATCCTTCTTCTGTTGGATTCTCTTTGTAACTTTGTCAAACAAAGTTACAAAGTTGTGAATCATATTTGTGGGCTACTATTTCTGGGTTTTCTCTCCTAGTCTATTGGTCTACATGTTAAGATCCTAGGTATCTTGAGAGCCAGATATATGTCTTTATTTCTACCATGTCTTTGTCATATTATCTTGGAAACAGTAGTTAACTAACTTGGTGCCTAGGGCATTGTAGGTTCTCAATAAATTTTTGTTAAAAATAAAGAGTTAATAAGTGTCTTACAAATGGGAGTTAAATTATTGCTGAATTAGTTCTTAGAGTTTTGAGAAGCAGACTTAGGTGTCTCAGCCCAGTGATAACCTTTCCCTTGGGCTTCTTGACACAGTCACTAGAGTCCCCACATGTCCTGCACACTCTGAAGGCCTCTGCCCGTGAAAGAGGGTCTCATGTACAACAGCTGCCCCCTCTGCAAGCCCAACCTGCCCCCACACAGCTTGCACGCCAGGTCTTCCGCCCCATCTGGTGCCCAGATTCCCACTGTGTGCCCCACCCCCATACACCGGTTTTTGATCCCACCTCCCAGGGCACCACCTGCACTCTGCATGGTGGCCAGTGCCTGCCCAGCTACTCCAGACCAGCTCTATCAAATAGTAGACTTCTCTGCTCCCTGGTGGGCCAAACTGCCCCTTCTGCAAGGAGACTGAACCCATTGCAAGCTGGCCCCCTGACTCTAGGGTGCTGAATAGAGTTTCCTCCTGCCTTATAATCACTCTTAGCACAATCAATAATTCCTCACGTTCATCTTCCCTAACCAGCCTGCCATGGGGCTTCAATCTCCTGAGTGGACTCAGACTTAGTCAGCCACTGCCTCCACCTTTTAGGGTCCTGTGACACCAAGTCTCCCCTCCTCTCCTGTACTCCACAGCACGCCTCTGAGAGCTTCAGCTGACACTTTGGAAGGAATTAAGTTGGCTGGGACACTGGGAAGGTCCAGGTCTTTGGAATAACAAGCCAACTATTTATCTGTTGAGTGATAGCCAACGTGTCTCAGGCCTTGTTAGTCAAGTCACTTTGTCCATTTGAGCCTTCAAAGGAGAATAGTCATGATGCTCCTACTTCACAGCATTGACGCGCTGGCACGCGGGCAAGGCCCATGGAGCGCTTTGTTCAGTGTTGTGTCCAAATACAGAGTGCCATTTTCATTTAACCTCAGGACAAATTATGGAATGGAAGTCTGACTCCTGCTGAGCACCTGTCAGTATTCAAAACAGTGGAGCATTTCTTCTGAAATGAGACCACAGGGGCTGTGACCTTCATGTGACATTGGGCCCCACAGCATATCAATCTACAGTGGTTGCCTCACTGGGTGCAGCAACGTGTGCCTCTGGAAGCAGCTTCTTGGGAGACTGAGCCACGCGGAGCACTTGATCCCAGGAGATAAAGGCCAGCCTGGGCAACATAATGAGGTCTGTCTCAAAAATAATAATAACTATTACTATTATTAAAATGGTTGCCTCTCCATAAAAAGACCATAAAAGACACACTCCCAATAAAAGGCAAAATAAAGATTCTCTATTTTAAAAGAAATAAAAGGAAGGTGAAATATAGTAGAAATATTGTAGAAGAAAAACTGCTAGGTTTAATTAAGATTTCTAGCTGCTTAGAAAAATGACGTAGTTAAGGTTACAAGCATGTGAATGAACAGGGTCAGGTTAAGTGTGTTTTTATCCAAAACATTTGGGTATAGACTAATTATTGTAAGAAAGGAATGATGTTAAATCAGATCTCAGCAGTAATTTTTTAGAATCTGGTGATTAAAACAAATGTTAAAGAAGAATGGAGAGAGAAGGAGAAAGATAAGGAAAAGGAGAGGTGGAAGGAAAAAAAGAGGAAGAGAAGGAGGAGGGAGAAAGTTTTAAGATTTAAGAATTTCTGCGTTTCTGAGGCATCTTTAGCCTGACTTTTAAGTTCCCCAAACTTATCGTTTACACACATATTCAACAGGCAGTAAGTTTAACATGCTGAGGACATCGTAAAAAGAAAACTCCAAATCATAAATATAATATGATATGCAGTACTAGGGATTTTTTTTAAATCATTACATTATGTTTGTTAAAAGTACTTTTAACAGAACTATTTGAAAATGGCACTTTGTTAAGAGATGAGTTTTCTGAACATGTCAGTTTTTCATCCTGACTTGTAACAATGAAAATAAGAATGCAAAGAGTTATTTGCCTACTTTAAAAAAGTAAGCAAGGATATGAGAGCTGCCAAAGTCAGCTGCCATCCTTTAAAAACATTATTTGCATAGGTAAAATTGTATATTTAATGTGCTTCATGTCACTTCAGTGCACCCAGTGAGACCTCAGCCTCTGAATTGTCACAGTCTTGGGGCTAATATTCTTTATAATGGCTTTAATATATGCACAATTTTTTATGCTCCTCCTTTAAAGAAATGGAACCAAATTCCTCTTCCCTTGAGTATGTCCTGGACTTAGGACTTGCTTCTAATAAATAGAATAAAGCGGAAATGATGATGCGAGTCTCAGGAAACTTGGTCCTTGAAGGTAGCATGGATTCTCCCTTGCTTTACTCCTCCTTAGATTGCTTCCTTTGTGGAAAGTCAGCCACCATATTGTGAGATCTCCATGTGCACGAAAACCGAGGCCTACGGCCAATAGCCAGGTGAGGGAGGAGCTGGAATGGATCTTCCAGCCCAGTCTAGCCTTCCGATGACCATAGCCTTTGCTGGCCTCCTGATATGGGGGAGACTCTGAGCCAGAATCACTCAGCTCAGGCAGCCCCAAATTCCTGAGCCACAGAAAATGTGAGACTATAAATGTTTGTTGTTTAAAGCCACCAAAATTTGGGGTAATTTGTTACACAGCAATAGATAACTAATACATTCTTAATACATTCTTAGAAATAACATATCTCCTTTCTCTATTTACTAGGAAAAGATCATATGAGCTAAAGTAGCTTTTCAGTTATATACCACTTGAATATCTCACCGTAGAACTCCTCTGCCTTCCAACCTCAGCCTGGGCCGGAGGGAGCACTTGAGGCCAGCTCAAGATGCAAGAGTAGTTGCTACATCAGGAGGCCAGCAGGGGCTGTGGTCATCGGAAGGCTAGATGGGCTGGAAGTCCATTCCTAGCTCCTCCCTCACCAGGCTATTGGCTATAGGCCTCGGTTTTCCTGCACATGGATATCTCACAACATGGTGGCTGATTTTCCACAAAGGAAGCAATCTAAGGAGGAGTGAGCAAGGAAGAAACCATGCTACCTTCAAGGACCCAGTTTCCCGAGGCTCTCTGCCCATGCTCCTAGGCTCCTGACACTACCTCACCCAACCTCTGTTTCCAGCATCACATTTCCTTCTTTGACTCTGAAGGAGTCTGCCTCCCTCTCAAGAGGACTTTATAATTCATTGGACCACCCAGATAATCCAGGACCACCTCCTCCAGAGTAAAGATCCTTAATTTAATCACATTTGCAAAGCCTCTTCTGTCACACAAGGTAACATATTCCCAGGTTCTAAGGGTTAGACCATGGACATCTTTGGGTGTCTGTTATTCTGCCTACCATGTCCACTTTTAATGACAGCCCTAAAGGCAGATCAGGTGGCTCTCTGATCTCACCCACCTGCAGAGCAGCACCCTTTTCTCCTCTTTGCCTCTCTGTGCCCAAGTACCTGACAGGAACAACTTAGAGGAGGAAAGGTTTGTTTTGGCTCACAGTTTCAGAGTTCAGTCCTTGGTCAGCTGGCTTTAAGGCAGAAACATCATGGCAGAAGGGTATGGGGGAAGAAAGCTGCTTAGTGCAGGGTAGCAGGGAAGCAGAGAGAGAGGGAGGGAGGGAGGGAGGGAGGGAATGAGAGAGAGGAAGGGACCAAGGACAAGAGAAACTAAGATCCTACTTCCTCCAACTCCGGCGCCCCTTCCAGTAGTCCCTGCAGCTATCAACACAAAATAAAATAACATAACCCAGGATAAGAGCATGACATTACACAACACGACACACAAATGTAATAATGTTTCAATCATCACCCAGGAAACAGTCCAGACATCTTTCTGCAGCTTTTGGCAATTTCCCCTACTTCTGTCTCTCAGTGTATCTCTTGGTCTTCTCAACACCATTCTTTCCTAAGTCTCTATGTCCTCCATTTATTGCTCAAAATTACTGTTTTCCAGGTTTGTCTCCTCTGTGCTGGCCTAGTGGCTTAGCACTCTCCCCAGGAGGCTTTTGACCTACCTGTGTGCAATGACTCCCAGCCCAGTTCTCCTCCTGGGCCAGGCTTCCCACTTCCTGGCCCACATTCCTCTGTGTCTTCTTGGCTTCTCCACCCAGATGGCTGGTGAGCGCCCCAAGCTATCTTATTTTGCTTTCCTCACAGAAGAGCTGTGACAGACACTTCTCTGGTTCTTTGTAGCCTCACTTGCCTCTTCGTGGCTTTTAAATGCTGGCCTTCCTCAAAAAGCCCAGTCTTGGCTTTTCCTCTTCTCACTTGATATTCTGTCAATTACCACCTCAACGTACACGTCTTGCACATTTATATCTTTAAACAGAAGACTTCTTTGAAGCTCTGGACCAATACACCAAACAACTTCCTTGATCACTCTTAGGTATCTCGAAGACAGCGACACTCAGCAGAGTCCCAAAGTGGATCTGATGTCCCCCCAGCCCTGTTCTTCAGGATTTGTCATTTCAGCCCCTGGCTTTGCCATTCAGTCCGTTGCATGACAATTTTCTTCCTTCCCCTTCATAGTTCACCTCATGGAGTTTACTTATTTTTTTTATTGATTTTTTTTAAAAAATAAATGACAGTGGAATGCATTTCAATTTTTATTACACATATACAGCACAATTTTTCATATTTCTGTTTATATATAAAGTTTGTTGACACCAATTCGTGTCTTCATACATGTACTTTGGATAATGATGTCCATCACATTCCACCATTCTTGCTAATCCCCTGCCCCCTCCCTTCTCACACCCCTCTGCCCTATCTAGAGTTCCTCTATTCCCCCCATGCTCCCCCTAGCTACCCCACTGTGAGTCAGCCTCCTTATATCAGAGAAAACATTCGGCATTTGTTTTTTGGGATTGGCTAACTTCACTTAGCATTATCTTCTTCCACGCCATCCATTTACCTGCAAATGCCATGATTTTATTCTCTTTTATTGCTGAGTAAAATTCCATTGTGTGTATATGTCACATTTTTTTTTTAATCCATTCCTTCACTGAAGGGCATCTAGGTTGGCTCCACAGTTTAGCTATTGTGAATTGTGCTGCTATAAAACATTGATGTGGCTGTGTCCCTATAGTATGCTGTTTTTAAGTCCTTTGGGTATAGTCCGAGGAGAGGGATAGCTGGGTCAAATGGTGGTTCCATTCCCAGATTTCCAAGGAATCTCCATACTGCTTTCCATATTGGCTACATCAATTTGCAATCCCACCAGCAGTGTATGAGTGTGCCTTTCCCCCCACATCCTCGCCAACACTTATTGTTGTTTCATGGAGTTTACTTCTGAGTGTTGTTTACTTAAAGATCAGCTTTATGGAGTCTGATTTAGGTCCTGTAAAATTTAACAATTTTTCACCCACATCATTTATTTAGTGAATGTTATAACACCAACCTAAAAAACAACCAAAAAAGCAAACTGAGGGGTATGGGAGGAGAGGAATGATGGTGATGGGGGTCACCAGGGTAACTGCTTTATAATTCATTAAGATCTACCTCAGAAACATCTACCTCTGTTTAGTGTATTTTCCTATGATGTGTTTTATTTTACAGAATGAGTTTAAAAAGCAACTGTTACCAAGTAAATATAATTTAATATAAAAAATTAACAAGAAGTACTAATATTAAAATTATTAAACAAAGAAAAAAAAGAAAAATAAATAAATAAATAAAATTTAACAATTTTAAAAGTGAATGGTTCAACAAATTTTGGTGAATACATGCAATCACATAACTTATACCAGAGTCAAGATATGGAATCTCTCCATGGCCCCCCAACATTTCCTCATGCCCCTTTACAGTAAGTCTCCTTCCCCCCATGCCAGGTGCTCTGGAAACCACTGACTTTTTTTTAGAATTTCAAATAAACAAAACCAGACGGTAGTTTGTCTTTGGCATCTGATTTCTCTCGTTTAGCATAAGGCTGTTGCAATTTGGGCGATTGTAACATCAGTTCATTCCATTTCTTTGCTGATGGCATTTCACAGTGGAGGCACACCACAATTTATCTCTTCACCAGTTGTTGGATAGGTGTCCTTTCCCCATTGAATTACCTTGGGATCTTTGTCAAAAATCAGTCGGTCAATGGGATTTTTCCCAGGAATGTGTTACTCAAAACACAAAAATAAATCAGTGTGATAAAACACTCTAGTAGAAAGAAGGAAACACCTGGGCATGGTGGTGCGAGCCTGTAATCTCAGCGGCTTGGGAGGCTGAGGCAGGAGGAGTGTAAGTTCAAAGCCAGCCTTGACCACTTAGCAGGGCCCTGAGCAATTTAATGATACCCAGTCTCAAAAGAGAAAGTAAAAGGGGCTGGGGATGTGCTTGGCAGTTAAGAATTCCTGGGTTCAATACTTAGTACCAAAAGAAAAAAAAAGAAACAAATATAATAATTTTAATTAATGTAGAAAAGGCATTTGAATCCATATCCTTTCATAATAAGAACATCCGGTAAACTGGAAAGCACTAAGAACTTCCTGAACATAATGAAGGCCATATATAAAACCCACAGCTAATATTATATATATTTTTTGGGGGGTAGTACTGGGGATTGAACTCAGGGGCACTTGACCACTGAGCCACATCCCCAGTCCTATTTTGTATTTTACTTAGAGATGGTGTTTCACTGAGTTGCTTAGAGTTTCACAGTTGCTGAGGCTGACTTTGAACTCATGATCTTCCTGCCTCAGCCTCCTGAACCGACGGATTACAGACGTGGGACACCACACGGTGAGCTAATATTATATTTGGTGATAAAAACTAACAGCTTTTCTGCCAAGATCAGGAATGCTTGCTTTTGCCTTTTCAACTTCATAATAGAAGTTCTAGCCAGAGCAATCAGGCAAGAAAAAGGAAAAAAAAAATCTAAATTGGGAATAAAGATGTAAAACTCTCTGCAGTCCTTTCACAAAGATTACATTATCTTACGTGCAAAAGCCTTAAAGAATTTGCAAAAAGACATTTAGACATAATAATGAAGTCAATAAAGTTGCAGGATACAAAGTGAATACACACACACATACACAAATTAGTTGTATTCCTATACACTAGCAAAGAACAGTCTGAAAAGGAATCAAGAAAGTAATTCCATTTACAATAGTGTGTTTATACTTGTGCCAAAAGGGCACCATTGAATGCCTTAACTTTTATGGCAAAACTCGCAGTCAGGTAGTATTTTTCAACTTTGTTTTTATTTTTAAAAATCACTACGGTAATTCTAGACTTTTTAAAATTCTTATAAATTTTAGATTTAACTTGCTGATTCTCTAAGAAAGCCTGCTGAGATTTTGACTGACATTTCTCCTCTATCTTTTGAACTGTTTTTTTTTTTTTTTTCCATCTCTACCACAAATGCCAC